TGGCCGACAAATATGACCTCGGGCAAATTGTTAAATCGTGAGTTGAAATCTATGTTGTAATGTTGAAGCCAAGACTTTCAAGAGATCTGTCCAAAAATATGACGTACGTGTCTTCTTTCCTCATTTCAACAGAGAGGAGTTTTGTGAGATATTCCGGGCAAAGGATAGGAACACCTTGAAAATGTACACCTGTAAAAAGTTCCACAAAAAGGATGGAAGGAAAGTGAGGAAAGCTGCCAAGAATGAGATAATGATCTTAAAGATGTAAGTGAAGTCCTCCTCATTATAGATGGCTGAGGAACTGTCCTGGTACCGAGACAAAGTGTAATCACAAATGATCAGCATTATTATTTATTCAGGTCGAGCTAAAGGCAAAGCAGAGTGTGGTGCAAAAGCTCAAAAACCAACATCCTGAAATTTTGCCTTTGGACATTCTTCGAGTAATACACAAGGAGGAGTGTAATGATATTGTAGATTTTTGTTACGGTTAACACATTTAATGAAAATAACATCAGTTACTAATTTTACCTTAACAGACCTGAATGTCCAACATAACACCATATGGCTCTATAGCTTGTACTACGCATTGACTCTACTTATTGCTCGTTTTTAACCCCACTTACCTCCCTCTATTCTCCTCCCCCTCCTATTACTCTGTCCCCCTCTTTTCTGCTTTTCAAAGGATAAAACATCATAACATCCTCCAGCTGGTTGACACTTTTGAAACTAAGAAGGAGTACTTCCTTTTTCTGGAGCTGTGAGTATTATTAGAGGCACTTGAGATATATGTTGGCGCAGACTGGTTTGCACTGTACTTCCCCGACTGTGTTGTTATTCAATAAGTGACATGCATTCAATTTGGATGTCCCGTCTCTCCAGTGCTACAGGCAGAGAGGTGTTTGACTGGATCCTAGATCAAGGATACTACTCCGAGAGGGACACCAGCAATGTTATGAGGCAGGTGTTGGAAGCTGTAGCGTACCTGCACTCTCTGAAAATTGTCCACAGAAATCTTAAGGTATATTACACTGCTGACACCTAGTGAAAAAAAGTAGCATTTCCACCCAGGCCAATATATGATATATATATAATATATACAATAATATATAAATATACAGTATATATATATATATATATATATAATAACTGCTCTTTGGGAATGCTTTACTCATACAGCTGGAGAACCTGGTGTACTTTAATCGTTTGAAGCACTCCAAAATTGTTATCAGTGACTTCCAGTTGGCAAAACTGGAAAATGGACTCATCAAGGACCCATGTGGAACCCCAGAATACCTTGGTAAGTGACATAAAAACATGAATGCAGTTTTAACTAACTTCAATTGATATGTGTGTAGTCGTATAAAAACAAACGTTTCTATTCTGTTGCTCAGCTCCTGAGGTGGTCGGGAGGCAGAGATATGGAAGACCTGTTGACTGTTGGGCCATAGGTGTCACCATGTATATACTGTAAGTGCTCACAAATATACAACAGTCATTTTCTAATGTATATTTAAGTGACTTTATCAAGATGTATGTTGTCCTATAATGCTCTCATTCTGCCAACTCAATAGTTTGTCTGGAAACCCTCCTTTCTATGATGATGCTGATGAAGGTGATGATCGTGATAAGAATCTTTTCCTAAAGATTTTGTCAGGGGACTACGAGTTTGACTCACCATATTGGGATGACATTTCAGATTCTGGTAAGAGATAATTAGTTTACTAAAATGCATATCAATGTAATCCTATTTCACAGATGATGTGTTCAGAGTTAGAATTTTGGCAAGCAAGTTTAAATGTTGTTTATTTCATTTTTTTTACAGCCAAAAACTTAGTGGCATCTTTGATGGAAGTGGACCAAGATCAGCGATTAACTGCACAGGAAGCTATTGCCCATGAATGGTAAAAAAAAATGATATTATATAAATGGTCACACCAACAAAACTTAAGTGATGAACTTTGTAATACAGGAACCACAAATATAATAACATGCTGGAAAAAAATAATCCTCTTGTTCCTTCTCTCAGGATTTCTGGAAATGCTGCTTCTAACAAGAACATCAAGGACGGCGTTTGTGCACAAATAGAAAAGAACTTTGCCAAAGCCAAATGGAAGGTATTGTTTTTCATATATCTCATACATTTTTGCTCATATATCATTAAACATTGCACATGTTGGACAAAATGATCAGGTCATGATCAGGACCCATATTACCATTATTCTAAACTGAATACATATTAATATACACATAGTATTCACTGCTATTAGCAACCATTACATCTACAATAAGTTGCGGTAACAATTCCGTATGTTATCCATACAGACGTTTTTCCCCTCATCCGATTTGACTTAAAGTTTAAAACAAGGTTTATTTTATATTGTTGCATACTATTAGGGATTTTACTGAAGCCTGTTTTTTCCCAAAAAGCAAGTGTGCATTCCACAGAGAAAGAGAGATAGATACTATGAATTTAGCCTTAAAGATATAATAAAAAAAGTTAGTGATCAAAGTAGAAGGAGGCACACCACCAAAGCAGCAACAACTGTACACCTTCATATTTCGATCAAAATCTCTTTCATTTCAGTCAGAACCCTACCTCAGAGCGTGCATCGGGATCAATCTATAACATGTGTTGTGTCACTTAATTTCACCCTAGCATATTTGAATTATTCACAGAAAGCTGTTAGAGTGACCACCCTCATGAAGAGACTTCGGGCATCTGAGCCGGGAGATTCTGGGGCCTCCGGTCTCGCTGCAGGGGCTGCAGCCGACCCCGACGCACCCGGTGGGGCTCCCGCTCCTCCAGCTGGCAGCAGTGATGGTGTCGCTGCCAGCATAAAGGCTGCTCTTAGTGAAAAGGTTCCTGACACACAGACTGCCAGCATCTCTGCACTCTCCCAGCCCAGTGCAGCCAGACAGGAAGAGCAGCCACCGCCGCGGTGCAATGGAGATGTTCCCCAAATGTTGCCACAAGGAAAGGGAGACTAGGCATCAAACAAATACAAGAAGAGGACCCTTGCCAACCAACAAGCACATGTGCAGTAGAGCCACTAAATGTGGCTTGATGATACCATGTCTATGCTGTTCGACTACCCCCCAGTTTGCAGAGTTATTTCATAATACCATGCATTTCATCATTTTTGCCTTCTGTAGTGATTGGTCTATTGAATAGTGTTCTCCACTCTCCCTTGTTATGTTGTGTACGAGTCTATTTAAAGCTAGTGGCAAAGTAGCTCTTCTGTTGTTTCCTTTTCCCTAAAATCTGTAAAAAAAAACAAACTGTAATTTTGTGAAATCATTGTATATAGGTGTATTTGTTGCTTTCAACAAATTGCTACTTTTCAGCTTCAGAAATAACAATCCTGAGTTTCTGTTTTGTGACTTAAAATTATGAGTTGAGAGATTTAATTAATTGACCATCAAGGTTTAAAAAATGTGTTAATTTATTAAAACACTTTACATTCAAATGCGTGTTTGAGTTAACGCTTCAGAAACCATGCCTCTAATTGGAAAACATCTACAGTTATATATATTTGATTAAAAAAAATGTAAACACCTTTGATTCACTCATGACTGTGTTGAAAGTATTCTAAAAAGTTATTACGTAACAATCAGATACAGTCAACAATTAGGGAATTCCACTTAACAAAGAGACAGACGTCTGCTGATTTATCTTCAGTGCAGTACAACTTCAGTCAACTTACAATTTTAAGGCAGAAAGAAAGCATATTTTTAAGTTAAAGTGCCTTAATATTTGTTGCAGTAATGTACTGTGCTGAAATGTTTTAAAAGAAACAACTTGAATAATATTACTTACTGATTTCTTTTAAACGTTTTCGCTGCCCTTCTGTTTAGTTTTACGCTGCCGTATTGATTCTTGTTTTCCGTCCCGTTTGACTCTATAAAACACAGAAAAAAATATTTAGAGCGTTGTATGTGAAGTGATGTTTTAGCTGTCGTGTTGTTGTGTTGTCGCTTGTAATAAGAACATTTCTGAGTTTATAGCTGAGTCCATATACTGTACCACTATGTATTTTTGCATTGTAAACATGTGTATTTTTTTATTTACGTGTATATTTAGCAACATTTAGCTGAGCTAACTGGTTGCTACTATGCTTGTGAATGAATAAAATGAGCAATACTGATTTTGCTGAAACTGTGACATTTTTTCTCAAGTTGTCTCTCACTGACAGTGTTAGTATGGGACATCTCAGGCCACCCCACCAACCACCATTTCACTTTCATCCCACTTTTTTATTGTGAGAAATGCAAGCAGTCTTGGTCCTCTTAAGAACAGTGTTACAGAATATATTTCTGTATACTTTAATGGTCAGCATTTAAAAAAGAAAACATTTCAGAATTGATATTGGTCAATACCGATGCTTCAAGATGCTTGTTCGTCAAAACAAGATTAACACAAATTTTAGAGGGTAAAACCAAGATTTTGCGTAGTTATTTTCAATTAACACAATTAATAATGCATTTAACATATGTATAGATGTGCATATTTTCCACTTAAGACTTCAAAAGCCATATCAAAAGTAGATCTTTGTTATAGCTTTTAGGGACTGATATAGTCCATGTTACTTTTTAACAAATTAAGCAAACCCAGTGGCCAATTAGATAGCAGAGGAACTGTTATTTCAACTAAAATGGATCTGGACTTCAATTTTACAGGTGTGTGGTGTATCAAGAAATAGTTTGATGAATGTCAATATAAGCTCTTGCACTGATTTTGCCACTATGATTTGTTTATTTAAAGGCGAAATATATGTCTGTATATATGTATGTACTATTTTTCATTGCTCCTTGCATGACAAAACATGATTTAAAAAAAACAAAATGTTATCAATGTCGAGCCATGCATACTGTAATACTGTACAATCGAATGTGACAGTAGTTGCATTAAATAACCGCTGGAGGGCAGCATTTTGCCTTAAGTGTGTTAGGGCTACAACGAAGAAGAAAGAGATTCGTCTCCGCTGTAGCAACAGAAGAAGAAGAAGACCGACGCTCGTCTCCATTTGTCGTCAGTTCCCTGAAGCCATCGACGACCTGAACAACAATCCTGTGCAATATCGACCCTGAACTCGAAGAACAAGCAAGGTAGGTCTTAAAGAAACAACATCCACTCGATCATTTTGAAATATACAACCGGTGGAAGATCCAAATATGCAAATAATCCGGCTTCTAAACGTCAATTTTAGCCAAGTTAGCTCCAACCGCTGCACCCTGTGAATGATCTCCTGCGATGGGCTAACGTTTGTAATAATGCTCCTTTGCTCGCTAATGTAATCATCCTAACGTTGTTATCACGATGCGATCGTTCCATTGCATTATTTTGTTTATTGAAGTGCAGTCACTTTCTCCACCAACGACGTGTATGTATGTTGTGGCGTAGATTGAAAGGCCTTGTGATAGATTAAAGTAGCGGGGGCCACTCTTCTGTGGGCCAACGTTAGCGATCACACCACCCAGTGCTACGAGCCTAGCTGTGACGTATGTTGCCATCTTTTTAAGTGTCGTCACCGAAGCGCCGAAATAACACACTCGCTAACATATTACACCATCACTTCTTCGTGTAATGTTTTCATTATAATGTTATTTATAATGTCGTCCTGTGATTTTACGTCGGTCTATTCTGTGCACACGGCACATGCGCACGTCTGTCCGTCCTGGTAGAGGATCAGTCCTCCGATGCTCTTCATGAGGTATTTTCTATTTCTCCCCGTTAAAGGAGTTTTTTTCAGTCCGGACAGAAGGTGCCCTGTGGTGTACCGATTGTTAAAGCCCCGTGAGGCAGATATGCGATTTGTAATATTGGGTTACTAAAATAAAAATGAACTGCCCTAATATATTTCTAATCACTTCTTATCCCTAATTTTGGGTGCAGTCAACGTGTATTTCTTTCCAGTGTTATAGTGATGGATATATCTGCCACTGCGAAGTCAAAAGTGGTGCATTCATCTACCAGGACATAATGCAAACCTTTAACTTTGCCTCCAGATAAGATACTGACTTACAAACATGTGGGATGGACCAGGGCAAGGACCACGGGGAGGACCGCCCTTTCGGTAAACAAGCATCATTCACGATTTTAAAACTATATATATATAATATAATATAAATGAGAGAGAGAGATTTTGAGTATCTGTGCACATATTTAGCATATCAAATGTTCTCACAGTTCTGCATTATATGGCTCCACTCCTGATGTTCCTTGCTTATGTGCATTTCAAACAAATCCGTTGCCTAATATGTTGTTACATAAATCTTCCAGCGGTGATCATCGTGGAGAGAGGTTTGGCGGCAGAGATCGTCCCATGCCTGATTTTAGAGGTAGAGATGGGATGAACATGGGTCCCATGGGTCATATGGGCCCAAGACCTCAAGATATGCCACCTATGGACATGAGAAGGATGGATGGGCCGCCCACGAGGGGGCGTGATATGGACCAACGTGAGATGAGAGACAGAGAGCAAAACAGAGATTTTTGCCGAGCTGGAGAAGAGCCGGACTTCAGTCTAAGAAGGCACTATGAAATTTCCATCAGAGACAAACTGATGAATTCTTCTGGTTTCCCGGGACCCGGCAGGAACTCAGTAGACATGGGAGGCAGGGGTATGCCACCACGGGAGCCAAACAGCAGATTTATGGACATGAGAGACAGAGAGTCATGTCATTATGACGCACCACCGTTCAACAATCCCAATATTGATGGAAGAAGAGGGTTTCCTATGGACCGAATGGAGCGAAATGATGGATTTAGGGACATGCGTGACAGGCCCCCAGTGGGCATTGACGACTCTGATGGCTTTAATATGGACGTACCGCCACGTGAAAGGAGAGTGATGGACACCGACCGAAGAGGAGGGACACCTTTCAATCCAAGAGGTGGATTTGATTCTGATATGGATTTCAGAAATCGTCCATCAGCTGAATTTAGAGGTAGGGATCGATCTCCCTTACGATTTGGAAACAGTGATGTCCCACCAGTGGACAGGGCAAGATCGAACATGCCCACAGATGTTGCTGGCCCTCAGAGATCAGAGTTCATGGGTGCAGAAAACATACCCAGAGAGAGAGAATATACAGATTCAAGTGGCAGCCCCCTTATGGATTATCGAAGCGGTGAGGAGATGACTCTTGCAGAAGAATGGAAGAACCGTCGAAAGGAGAAGACTCCTCTCTTAGAAGTCGGTAAAGCTATGGGAGATGTTCCAAAACCTAGCTTCCCTGTAGGTTTTGGCCGAGATGTGAATGTTAGAGGTCCACCACCATTTCAGCAAAGGGACAGGCCACCTGTCAAGTTCCCGGGGAAAGAGGTCGGCTTTCCTCATGGTGTCAAGTTCCCGGGGAAAGAGGTCGGCTTTCCTCATGGTGTCAAGTTCCCGGGGAAAGAGGTCGGCTTTCCTCATGGTGACCACTTTCCCGCCTTGAATCTACCATCAATTGCCAGCAAAGCCCCGCAAGACCATCCACGCCAGGAAATAAGTCTTCTTTCTGGCCCTCTTGGGAGAGAAAATGAGAGTGAACCTTGGCTTGGAGAAAGGAACCCGAAGCATAGGCCGAGTAAGCCAAATTGTGACGAAAGGCTCCTTTACCACCAGGAGAAGAATCCGCCCTCGCATGTGATTCAGAAGCCAAATGATTGTTTCGAAGGGCTGAAGGATATCCCACATAATCAAGGACCTGCCAGGGGTAAGATGGGGACAGAAGGTGATTTCCAAAGCAGCAGCAGTACTGTGCAGGCGAGAGATCAAGACTACAGGGACATCGATTACAGAACCGGGTCCGGGAGGGCTTTCGATTACAAGCACCAGGCACTTCAAGCACCAGAGAAACTCATCAAAGAGTCTAAACCAATCCCACCTTCTAAGTTTAGTGAGTCTGGTTCTCAGGTAAGTGTTTTTTTTATTTTGCTGTTAGTATTTGTTTATAAATTGTATTTGTATTTATTATAATATTTTGCTGTTTCATAACCTGAATTTAAATCAACATTTCTGCGAAAGGATCAAGATTACAGGAATGCATCCGTGGAGGACAAACTCTCCAATACAATATCCATAATTGGTATTCCAAAGACTGCCACAATGGAGCAGGTAAATAACCCAACAGAAAAGCCACTTCATGTGTTCATCATTCTGGTTACCAGACTGTGTCTGTATTAGTCTGCTCAGAAAGCCATGGCGCACAGCTCACCTGTTTTGACACGTTCTTTGGCAGATTCTCGGTGCCTTTGCAGTCCGTGACGGTGTGCCAATGCAGGGGATGAAAATCAAAAACGTTATGCCAGGTAAGAATTACGTTTCTTTGTGAAGCCGTTTGGGGCAGTCGATCGCAAACGTTGTCTCACGACATTTCGCTTTTACGACATTCGAAACTTCGCATTCTTTCTTTTTTACGTTGTTGGTTGCTTTTGTTGTTGGTGGTCTGTGTGAACTCGCTCAGTAAAGAAGGAAAGGGGGGGGGGGGTCTGTTATGCCATCCTTTTTCATATCTGAGGATTTCTGGTCATTGTGTCAAATAGAGGATTTACCAAGGATTCAATGCGTTGGAGACTGCCAGTTATAAAAGATCGGTGACAAGTGACTCACTGAATGTGTCACCGTGACACTTAAAGTACTGAAAAATAACGTCACAAACTTGAAATGGAGACCGTCTCGATAGTGCTTTGTTCATCTTGCTCTAGAGTGCTTTCCACAGTGGATCATCATGGTCATAGATGATGCCATGCCTTTTTTTTGTGAAGATTATTATGTCTCGAATGCTGTTAATTTTGCATAATGCATCAAAATGGTCATCGCAGAAAGATATTCGGTGCCTTTTTTAATTGGATACAAACAAGACTGGTAAACTTTCTGTCTCCATGGTGCGCACCACGCAGTCGTTCACTGCCACTGGTTTGGAATATCTGCTTTGATAAAGCCGAGCCTTAACAGACAAAGTCTGATATGACGTCAGTCATCGGAAGACTAAATAGAACAAAAAAAGCATAAAACAAAATGTGTGTTTTCCTGAAAAGGTATGTATGTAAGTCAAGGTGAATAATTCGCTCACGCTGATCTCGATGTATTCACGAACTGCTGTCTTTCATGTTTCAGTGGGTGACTGTCATTGCTGGCATTGACTAACAAAAACCCATCTGTATTTCAAATGCTGTCCCCAGGTTACAGCTACGATACGGCCTATGTGGAGTTTTTAAACCTCGAGGATGCAGTCCACTTCATGGAGTCCAACAAGGTGGCCCATCCTCGTCACTCTACGAAGGCCGTCTCTCCCATCAGGATTATGAGGGGTTGAGAGGGCATTTAGTAGATGGGGGAGGGAGAGAACCGGGGCAGGGGTTGCTTTTACTATTCAGTGAGCTTACTTTGGTTAAGGAGATGAAGATGTCAGTTGACATTTTTAGATGCTTTAAACCTCAACAGTTGGTCCTAGTTTTACATCAATTACATTGTAAGTAGTTATCCACAATGCCACGGTAGTACTTCAGGTTACTTGTTAACACTTAAAATACTTTAAACTGTGTATGTGCACAGAAATACAACAGGTTTCCCTGGCATTGTTTACTTGCCCTAGTAGTCCTCATTTTTCAAATTAATTTATAAATTGCTTAATCTTGGAATAGATTTAACCATGAAGATACAGATGTTTTGGGGGGGGGGATCGGGAAGACTTGAATGATGACTTTGAAGGTACTAATGTGAAGCCACCATGACAACTATGTGATTTAACCTTTGTAACGAAGAGGATCAAAGGAAATTACCACTTGCGGCTCTTTCAAGTCTTTGTGTCTTAGAGAATATTGATTTCCTCTTTGCTTTGTGCGACCCTCGAAAGAAGCTTCTGTTGTCAAGGAAGCAACTGCAGATTTGGACTCTTTTCTTACCAGTGCCTGGGGGGGAAGGAATCATTTCATCTTTACTCACGGTGTAAGCGGTAGAGCGAGAGTGACGCGTTCCAAAGTAGTCTACCAGGAATGTACATGTGATTGATTGGCCACCACACGGCTGTGGAAGAGGAAGTTGCCTTGTCGGCCCGGCAGAGGTTTAGCCAGGTGCAACTTCTGCTGGACTAACCTGTGCTATTAGTCAGACGTTGCTGCGATGGCTCGTGCTATTAGTCAGACGTTGCTGCGATGGCTCGTGCTATTAGTCAGACGTTGCTGCGATGGCTCGTGCTGTTAGTCAGACGTTGCTGCGATGGCTCGTGCTATGTTGCCACACTGGCCTCATTCAAATGAATGCGAAGGCTGCATTCTTTCACAGAGGGCGACCTCGGCCTTATTGCTGAGAACCCTGCAGCTACAGTTTAACTGTAAACGCACAATACAAATTTAATTTTCTTATTAGCATTTTTTTTAAAATTAAAAGTAACCTTGAAGAAGAATATTTTTTCAATTGGAGTTTGAGCACAGGTAAAGCATTATAGTGATCACAACTTTGGTGTAGTTTTCTCAGCCATGTATGGGTCTACATTGTGTTTTTTATTTAAATTTTATTTAGATATGCCAGTGGCGTGGCTTTATGGATGACGGCCAGTCTATTGGTGCAGACTGAAAGATCTCAACAACTACAGGATGCATTGCAGTGACATTTTGTACAGATACTTGTGGGCCCCAGAGGATGAAGCCTACTGATTTTGGTGATTCCCTGACTTTTCCTCTGGCGCCATTATGAGGTTCACATTTTTGGTGTTTAGTGAAATGCCTCAACAGCTTATTGGATGCATTCTCGTTACATGTGGTGCAGATACTCATGTCCAGAGTACAAATCCTAACAGTTGTGGTTACCTTCTTGACTTATCCAGGGAAGCAGCTCTTCATCCACTTGATGGATTGGCACACATTTTGATACAGATATTCATTCATTCATTCATTCAAGAGGATGAAATAACTTTGGGGATCTCCTGACTTCTCCTCTAGTGAAATAACTGTTTGATGGATAATCATGCTTTTTGATGGAGACATTTGTGGTCTTTGTGCACTTTGGTGATCCCCCTCACTTTCTATTAGGACCATCAAGTCAACATTGTTGTTTTTCTATTTGGCAGTTTGGGTTTCTTCACAATGAGCAATACAGCTTCACAAAGCCGCAGGCGTGCCTGCAGACTCTGGTTGTCTTTAAGTGTCTGCGGCATTCCTTCTTTCAGCAGTTCATGGCATTTCCAGTCATCTGCAACTTTCCTTCAGAATGTCCTCTTGATGGTATTCTCTTGAACTCATCGTCTTTGAACTTTCTTTCAACTGCTCTGAGCAGTTTGTGAGTTCATTTTGCATCTTGACACAGTGAACAAAGTCTTCAACACTGGCCAGAAATGATGTGCTTTTGATTATGCGTGAGGAACTATGGAGTAGCCCGTGAGCTCGGGGTAGTTGGGATCAGGTTGATTGTTGCTGAAATGTGTAGCAGTTTGTTGTTTGCCTTTGCTATTGCTAATGTTGGTGCATTTTGTTGCTTTGAAAACAAAGGATCAAATCTAGATGATGCAGATAGTTGCAAGGTCATTAATCTTGGTATCAAAGATTCAAATCACCACTTAGAAGCTCTCATGAATGGTAAAGAATGTTTTGCTTTGTGCTCTTTGGTGCGACTTAATGTATGGTTTTAATGGTTAATCTGTTTTGTGTAAATAAGGTATTCTCTGGAATTATCCATTGACAGCTTTTTGATGCACAACCCATGTTAGAATTATGGATGCTTAGCGCAGTGCTACAGAATTGCCATGAACCCCTTGAAACTGCTAATTTCTCATAGTAATGCAGCCAAGTCTTGCTTATAGGTTATTTGCGATGGCTTAGTCTGGTTAGTACACTTTACCTACCAAGAGCATGGTCCTCATTTTGCACTATGTAGTTCAGTTGTTTTCTTTTGGATTGTGCTGTGGACAACTACCGGCACCTATTTTGCAAATCAATTGATGCTTTAGTTCTTTTGAAGCCAAACACTCCCTGGTTCCTGCATTTCATTTTTATGGATTTGCTGCTTTTGTTTGTATTTTGGTGTAGTAAATTGCTTATCTTTGTGTTTTTGTCGGATAAAACCAGCAATTTGAAGACGTTACCCTGAGCTTTAGGAAATTGTCTGACCTGGGCAGTCTGACCCTCTTTTTTTTTTTTTTTTTCTGGACCAAATGATCACTTGTTTAATTGTCACAATAATCTGCAGATTAGTCGATACTGAAAATAATTTAGCCGCAGCCCTAATTTGTAGTTCCGTTTAAACTATTTAGTGTAGTGTCAGGGCAACCTGCCTGTGTGAAGCATGATCCTCAAATCTGGGCTTTGCTCACTATCATAAGTGTTCGCCCGTTTCATCCTCAGCAGTGAAGAGGAGGGCTTAACCTGCCACAGTGCATGTTGGGTGTCATTGGTATTATTTACATATAAGTCGCAGCTGTCGTATGATGCTGATGGATCATTTCTGTTCTTCTTTCAGGGATCCCTAAAGGTTGGCAGTAGAACAGCGTCCATGAAGTACATACAGCCGGAGGAGCGTGAAAGAAGTGTTCATGTGAGTGTAGTCGGAAAGAATTATCTTCTTCTTTTTTTAATATTTTATCAGACATTCTAAAACAAAAAACAGTATTTGAATAATGGTTGGGTCATAAGGTTCTACAAGCACAAAATTAGCTTTATTTTAATTTAAATTTGACCCTACAGTATCATTTCATCACAATATAGCCATTACAATAAACTGAACACTTCCTGCAGGTATTTGCCAGTAAAAAAACTCCTGGATGGAGTAATTGTTGTGTTTGTATAACAGCAAACGGCAGTTCACAATGTACAGCATCACTTCACCATATTGTTTACCGTACAACAGTTAAGAGTCCCTACCTTCCTGTGTCCGTGAATTAGGAATCAGATCACAAAGTACCTCAACTCCAGGAGCCCCAGTTGCCCAGACCAGATGAGCCTTTAGAAAAGTTGAAGACCAACCTGGATGGGTCCAAACCAAAAGTTCCCACGGAGCCATTGCCCCTTGGCCAGTGGCAGCGTAGCTCCGACCTGACCCCTGAGGCCTGGCAGCAGCAGGTGGACCAACAGCTCCAACAGCAGGAAACGGATCAGCAGCCAGATTCTTGGGGCAACCGCAACCTTCCTCATCACGCTTCACACCAATCTGACTCTGTTTTTAAAGACAGCAAAAGTATGTTGACTTAAGCTCCTGGGTCTTCTCTAAAGCTTGTAGCCGTAAACGCAAGCAATCCATTAACATCAACTTCAAGATATTTGTTATGTGCTATTGTAATTCATAACCAAGTCGGGTAAACAACACTTTTCCCTTGTGTCACTGTACAGCCATGATAATAAAAAATGTGAAGCCCACCACCACAGTAGAGACAATCCTGAAAGCCTTGGATCCCTTCGCATATCTGGATGAAAGAAATGTTCGCTTAGTCAAGGCCAAGCCACCAGGAGCCAAGTGTTTCTGCTTTGTTGACATGGACTCCCACGAGGTATCTAAAGTCTGAATGCACACAGTTTCTCTCAGAGTCTGTGATAGCCGTCTTTATCCAGGCCCCCTGTGATTTCACAGCACTTACAAGTGTCTTCTTTTGTAGCAAGTGACACGTCTGGTTGAGCTCCTCACTAAACCCAGACCCCTGTATGTTGATGGAGTCAGAGTTTATGCGGAGGTGGCAAAACCTTTGAAGAACCAAAAGTAAGTCAACCATCGTTTGCAAGGGTTGTTTATCCGCTTTGTCCAGGAGAGAAATCCCGTCTCATTTGTTCCTGATGATCGTCCCGTCTGTTTCAGTTTCAGAAGAGAATTTGATAAAACAAACAGTTCCATCCTTGGGTATCCACCTGAGACCAGCACGACGGGGGTAAGTTGTGGTCTTAATTGTGTTGTTTTACAAAGATATAAAAAGAAGAGGATGACCTATGTTTATATTTATTTTTTTCCAGCAGCAGTACCCACAACCTCCACAGCACTCGCAACCTCTGCAGCCACCTGCTGGTGCCCCCGCTGGAATGCAAGGTGGGACTCCGGCGCATATTCTGGTATCTTGGTCCCTAAGTTTATTGTTTATTATTACTAAACCTAAAGATATTTGTCGCCAGGTGATTTCACATCTGGCAGCACTCTTCCTGCTCTGTCATCAGACCCCAGCATTGGACAGGTGGGTTACAAAGCAAAAAGCAAAGCCTGTGATCTTGGATAGATCTCTTGTCTCAAAGCTATGCATGTAAACTGAACATCTCCGTTAACGCCTCGTAGGGAGTTGGCTATAGTGAGACTCCAGCTGTGGATCCATCTTACCCGCCTGGAGGACCCCATGTGCCCACAGAATCAGCTGGGATGACAGTCCCCCCAGATGGATCACAGCCCTACGTCTATGGTAAGAATCCAATCAAGCGTTTGAATCCAGAAAAGGTATCAATCATGTTATGTCTGTATAGTTACAACATTGTAGTAATAACAACTCCAGTGTAGCTGTGTTGTGATTTAAACCACTAGTAAACAGTGACAAACCTTAAATTCAATCTGACATCAGAGCAAAGTAAGAACTCCAGACAAAAGGTCCTAAATGTATAAGACGGGAACGTGGAGCTTAATGTTGAGGCACTTTTTCTGGAGGACTTCTCCTTGATCCACTCTGGTTGGATTGGACCTCATTTGTACATAGCTTTGGACAAAGGGCTCTGCCAGATTAATGCATGTAACGTCAATGTCATATCTATTTGTCCCGATTCCTCCAGGCTCTGAGATTCCAGACATGACCAACTACTTGTACGATTCCACGTCAGGCTTCTACTACGATCCTGAGACGACACTTTACTACGACCCTACCTCTAGGGTGAGCATACAAGAGCGAGCCAGAGCTTTCTCCGGTCAATGAGCGGCCAGAAGGATAGCAAGGGAGAAACGGTGTTTGTAATATTGTATATCCAAAAAAAGTGCTGTAGTTGTTAACCTACCAGATAATATTAAATCATTTATAGCTACTACACATCTAACCAGAAGTAACTGCATCCTATAGCATGCACATATATCTATGATGTTATTTCAGTTTGCAGACATTCAGCCAGTACCTCACACTTTTATTCGACTTGTGTCACTTGTACACCTAAAAACCTAAACCTATCAAGGAGCCACTGTGTTATAATAGAGTATGTGTTTTGAATAATTTCTTAGTAAAAGGACCCAGACTGCAGTTTAAGCTTCTTATGCACTATTTAGTCAGCTTGTAGTCACAATAAATGTCTTAAATAATTATTTTTGGTTGTGATTAAGTTGTCCTTTTTTCTTTTTTCTTTTTTCTCGCTCTCATTCGTTTGTATATAGTATTTCTACAATGCTCAAACCCAAGAGTACATGTACTGGGATGCTGCGTCAAAGACTTACATCCCAGTTCCAGGAGGCAATCCTACACCGACCCAACCTATCATCATGACCGCTGAAGATCATGCCATTCTTTCCAACCCAGCAGCAGATGCTCCTCTGGAAATGAAGAAAGCGTCGGAGTCTCCAGACACTGCAGAAGCTCCGGCGCTAGTTTCCATTTCCGATGGCGACTCTGCTCCGGAGCCTGTCCCAACTTCCTCATCAGCAGCTCCTGAAAGGAAAGACGACGACGACTCCAAAAAGGACAAAGAGAAGGACAACGACAAGCCAAGAAGTATTGCTGCTGTCAAGGTAGCGCTTTGGTTACAATACCAGTGCGCACAATGTGAAATGCATTCGTGTGAGAGTTTAGACATTTGTTGCTGTTTGCAGATCATGAAAGATATGGAGCGCTGGGCAAAGATCCAGAATCGTCAAAAGGACGTTGTTCGCTCCGCATCACCGTTACTGAGGGGCGGACTGGACGATGACAGGAGGCAATCCAAGACTGCTGACGCTGGTTTCGCTATCTTTGAGAGGAAGGTTAGCGACTCGTCTCCAATGACCACATTTATTCTGTGCATTATTTTTTTACAATGAAGGCAGATGGAAGTATTTATTTATTATATCTTGTAAATATTTTTGTCCTGGTTCTCGTTTTACATCCTTAGATATCGGGTGCAGATGATCTTTTTAAGAAGCCCCTTGCTCCTCTTAAGAAAGATGAAAAGTCAAAGGTAAGAACCCTCGTGTTCAGCCCGTGGTGTACCTCATACCTGACTCACTTTCTTTACTTCCTTCATAGCACCATTGGAAAAAAATGTAAATGTGGCCAGTGTTTTTTTAAATTATTATAATTCATATTATTTATTTATGTCTTTGAGTACATTTTTACTTTGTAACATTTGTTTGGTTTGCTTCCGCAGCGTCCAATGGGCTCCCTGGGTCTGCTGGCGTCGGACTATGCAGCTGGAAGCGATGAAGAGGTGGAAGAAGATAAGGAGGATGGAGCTAAAAGCAGTCAGGGAGGCCAGTCTGAAGACTCGGACACCAAGCTGACGGACTGGAAGAAGATGGCCTGCCTGCTGTGTAGGAGACAGTTCCCCAACAAGGACGCTCTGCTCCGCCACCAGCAGCTTTCCGACCTGCACAAAGTACTAGCTATTAACCTCTGTATGAACATTAGGTGACAGTGACTCTATAAATATAGCCTCTAATACTCTGATGTATTCTCTCAACAGCAAAATATGGAGATCCACCTTAAGATCAAGAGGTCAAAGAAGGAGCTAGAGGCACTGGAGAACCAGGAAAAAGAAGTACGGGTAAATAAATGTGGTGGAGAAAATACATTGAGCAGAGTTTTAGGTTAGTCGGTTGATCACTTAAGGCGGTATGTGTCGTTCACAGTTGAATTCTAAAGAACCTTCCAGGTCACCAGAGCCTAAAAGAAGAAAACAACAACAGCCGCAGCATCACAATAGCTGGGCTGGAAGCTCCAGGTGGGTGTGTTTTTAACTGACTTCATCAAATGGATGTCAAAGCATTTGTTGTGATTTTATAACGTTTGGGCCTTAACTGTTTGTTCTCTTTGCTCAGGGAGATGAATAAAGTCAGTGATAGACCTGGTTTAGGAGCTGAACCTGTACCGGTAGGTGTGGCACTTTTATTGCATCTCATGTGGCGTTTCTTGTTAGTTTATTTTAAACCTTTCGTTGCACTTTTCTCTCTAGCAGAAGAAAAAGAAAGAGCCTGTCGTTTGGGACCACACCACCTACAAACAAGCAGTACGCAAGGCCATGTTTGCACGGTTCAAGGAACTCGAGTGATCTCATCTGAACACATCCTCACTTTGATAATATGTGAATTGTTAATATGACACGCTTCCCCACCTTAGCTTGAGAAATGCCATGTTTGACTGTCTTTACTGTTCGTCTTCCTTGGACATTACTACACTGTAGAACCAGTTTTCTACACAGACATTAAGTGGAAAAAACATTTGATTTTGTGCAGAAGGTGTTTATTACCGGCGTTGATTTGATTATTTTTGCCCATGTTTAATGTGTGGCCTGTATGTAGGATCGTGAAATGTGTCCAGCTAGTCTGTTTGTTTTTTTTAAATGATACTGTCATTCTGGCCACATTTACATTTTGTTTTAAAACTGAACAAATTTTTCATTTTCATTTGTCTGTATTGCAATGTTGTATGTACACATTTTTAAGTAAAAAATATTATGGACTAACTTTTCTTGTTCTGAAGTGTTTATTTTACTTGAATGAGGTCAGTGGGGAACAATACAGGTCAGGAGCTACTACAGTACAGGTCTTTGTTTTTTGCAGAATATGTTTAGTAAGATTCTGGTGTGTGTGTGTACACCTCATGTCCACTAAGTGGCAGCAAGAGACCATGTTCTGTTTTGTGTTAAAAGAACAATACATGATGAACTTCAAGTGAATGTCTATGCAGTTAGGAGCTTGTCCCATGGATTCAAGTCTTGCCAACTTGTCTTTGTCCATTTGCTGCTACAATTTCAGTTCTTCAGTAAATGCTGATTTAATGTTCCCCAGTTGGGCACTGCAGCAGTTTGAACATGAAGCCTTTCCTCTGACCTTTACTGATATGAAGGAACCAGCCCTCACCCGCTCTATGGCTGTGGTTCAATGAGTGTAGAGGATTGCGTGGGTTTAGTGTGCTGACACAACTAGCTCCTTTGAGAGCAGTAACAAGAACACAGGGGAGCCTGAGGAGCTGCAGTCACTGACAAACAGCAGAAACACTCAACACTGGAGAACGGAGCCAACCCTTTCATCAGTGCAAGAGCAATTATGTCTCCTATTGTGTGTTTTTACTTTTGGACAATAACCAAATGAGGAAATTTGGACTTATCTTTATCAACGGTTAGCTAGATTTTTGCTGTCATCTCCCCCCCCCCCCCCTTTTTTTTTTGCTGTCATCCCCCCCACGACCTGGTCTTTCTTTAACCAGCAGTGGATGAAATGGCAAAACGGTGAGTGTAATTATTTTCAAAGTGACTAACTGCATATGGAGTCTCTATGTCTGAGGATACAGGGGAACATGGTAATAAAGCCTCACAATGTAGTGTTGATCTTGTTCTGTGGCTTGGCAACAAAACAAAGGGAAGCACAATGAACAAAACCACATTGATTATCTGCAGGTTCAGATGTGCAGTGAAGGCCTGACACATCAACATGCCATTGCATTCTCTTTTCAGTTGTAAAAATCTTAGTCAGTAACCCATATTTCTATTAAACGGGTCGTACTTTTAGCTCAACTCTGTCTAGAAGGGAACAGAAGTAACAACTACAACATTTAGTTCAAGCAGAAAGTCATTAGGGCACAACTGGACAAACGGAAGGATTAAAGGTGAAACCTCCAGCCTGCTGTTGTCATGATTCAAGGAGACCATCTCTCTTAATTTAACTTGTGTCTGAATCACATTCTTTAAGTTTGCCAACAAGCTATGAAACTCTGCATCACACCCTTCCCTTAGGTGGAAACATTATTCTGTTGAGTTTAAACTTGTTCTGTTCATCGAAGTTTACATGTCTGTGCTCCTTAGAGACATCTTTTTTATGTATCTAATGTATCTTGATTCTTACTATTATACTTTACCAATAGTCTAAAGAAAGTCATACAATTTCACTATTAACTTTATAATGTATCCTCATTTACATGCTTCAGACTACACAGGTTATATCAGATGAGCCAATGTTGCTGTTTTAATGAAAAGACGTGCCTTCTGTTTACACACATGAAACAGAATTGACCAGATTCTGCAATAATTTAATGGCGAGAGGGGATCACATTTAGTGTCATGAATAAGGAAAACCATTATATTGTCCATTATTGTTTCAGTAATGGACTGCTGGCACATTTGCTGAAATGAAACCTGAGGTTTAATCACATTTTAGATGTGAGGTCATTTAAATTACTGCTTAATCTGGGTCTATCCTGCTTGTGAATTGATCACATATTTGTATTCCATGTAGATCAGTATGTCATATGACATCAATCAAATGAATACATTTTCAGAGCAACAGATTTCAGCACACTATCTGTGTATTTGCATATAAATAGAGTATTTATAACCAGGATTCACATGGACTTAGGCTCCATGCATCTTTCCCTACGTCAAAAACACTGGAATGAAATACAAATTTCAGATAATAGTCTTGGTGAAAGCACAAACTGCTGTTAGTTAATGAAAAGTGTTTGCTGACTCCAAGGTTAGCCTACCATCCACATACTAGAAAATACCATGTAACACAGTGCCAACAATATTATCTTAGAATTTTGATTTATGTAGACGTCTCAAAAAAAGCCAGCGGGTGAGGGACAAGCTGGCATTTCCCTTTTTTTACCCAAATGGCAGAAGGGGGGCATTTGGAGGAGGAATCTCGGCCTATTTTCTGTTAATCTATGTGGACTAATTTCCATACCTCTTTTCTCCATTCTGTCACAAGACCCCAAAGACACTGCCAGCTCCCAGTGACAGATGTCGTCATTAGCCAGTCCTAACAGTCTGCGGGATGAAAATGAATGTGTAATGTGCTGTGTTAGTATCCCCTGCATGTGTGAGGCAGAGCTTGCAGGCAGCGTGAATGTCAGAAAAAGGTGGACAGGGGGGCCAATTATCTCAGCTGGACGGCTCTTAGCGGCAGTCTGGGGACGAGACAGAAGAAGAACACAGTCAGCAGGACTCTCAGATGTTGAGATGTGCTGTCAGTCCACAAGGGCGAAAAGAGGAGGGAGAAGCATCATGTGATTGCTTTTAATGGAGGTCTGACAACAAGCTGCTGCAGATGGACAAAGATGCTCTAAATGTTGAAAACACATCAAGAATCTTATTAGACTTGTATATCTTTTGGAGATTTTTTTTTTTAACATCCATTTACATCAACTCCAACGGACAGGCAGTTCACCAGACACCGTCTCGTTTTTCCATTTTTTTCCCTTTCAAAGAAGGAGCTTAAAGAAGCTGATTCCTGCATGAAATAAAGTCCATGTAGTATTAAAGATGAAACAGATTATTGTACAATATGCTTACATGTTGGATGACTGTGTGGTCATCTCTCGTCTTTGTCCGTTATGACAAACGATCAAAAAACATATCCCATGTAGAATGACTCCCTCAAGGAGAAGCATGTGTTTGTGGTGTAGCCATGCACACAATAGAGACTATACCATCACAGGCTCATACGAAAATCATGCTTGTCTGAGCAATTTCCACCATCTGGCTTATCCTTTCAAGTATTAGTTGAAAAATGATGTCTGTTATTGATTGCTAATCTATTACATCATCTTGAAAATGCCCTTGTGATTGTCAGGTGTGGGACATACTTCAGAGCACAGCTTATATTGAGTTTGGACCATTGCTCGTAGCAGAACCAATTTCACTGGCAGACTGTCACTGAGAACATTATATGCATTCAAAACATTTGGATATGATGTCATGGTTCTGCACTCCAGCACTGACGGAGAGATGACAGCAGCGGTAGTAGTATATTAATATAGAAAACAGACATATGGAATGTTTCCATCTATTCTTTTCTGACACTGAAAAAAAACTTTGTGGCCTTGTGTAATTTACAGTTGTCTCATTTAATTATCGTGCAGATGACTTATGATGAGTCACAGCTAAGCAGCCCTCCTGCACATTGCTACAACTATGAATTTTGTAAACACACTGAGAAAAAACATTCCCTATGAGAGCTGTCAAAGATGTATGAAGCAAATCTGAACCACTCACACTGTTATAGTCGTACTGTAACCCTGCTGCCATAAAGTTGAAAGTTCTGCTTTATGTCCATCATGAAGCTTCGCAGCTGGTTTGAATGCTCTTTGAATTATTATCATCTTCTGACAAATAATTGATGTACTTGACAAAGTTTAGACCCAAGACTCTTTACCTGGCACTCTTTCCGCACTTTATATTTGATATAGAAACTTAATCTTAAAGTAGGTTTTAAATGCTAGTTTTGCTTTGTTCAGTTACATGGTGCAGCTAATGCACTGCTAAGGCCAGCAGTGACTAAAGAGTAATGTCACAAACTTCTTTGGCTTCACCTTCCCTGCTAGCTAATTTGAAAATTAAAAACAAACAGGTGAATCTAGTTGCACTGAAATATTAGATGAAAAATAATAATAATGCTTATAATAATAAGCGAATAAGACATATTAATGAGAACATCTTTGTTTGTATACTGTATAGGCCTATAGTATAGTGGGATTAGGTGCCGTTGCACACACGTCTGTTTATCCTGTACCAGTTCTCATATTTACCCTTCCACCAGACACAAACATATTTTAGATACATGGGTATTCAAACTAATTGTTGTGTGGGAGCGCACCAGGTGGATTTTTTCACCATAGTCAAATAAATACAATAAGGAAGCATTGTATTCTCCCGAAGCGAGCAGCATAAACCCCGCCACAAAAGCGAGTAACTTTCTATCTATACATACATGCCAGAATGATGAAGACTGCATCTACCAGGACCATGAAGTGTTTAATTACTCTAGTGTGGTAATTACCAGTCAGCTTGGTGCTCAAGCAACCAAAGAGCTACATCAAAAATAACAACTTGCCAAACTAATTGATTAACTGGAGTGAGCATCTTCTTTTCTCAGAATCAGGTTCTGTCCAGCTAATTTCTCACGGCTGTGGAGTTCAAGCACTCATCCTTGTACATTATTAATGGCCTGCTTAATTTTTTATGTAGTATAAGGTTGAGTGAGCAAAGGGCTGAGCGTCCATAAGGCTGAGGGAAGAAACAATAATATACTGAGTCAATATTACCTGGAGGGAATGTCTATAATTACTGACATGTCCAGGTAGCACGGTGTTCTATCAGGGGGAAATTGTGTCATTATTTTGGCTTCTTTTTTTTTTTTTTTCATTTGGTGTGGAAATAGCCGGCAGTTATGTTGTTAACATTTTCCAGTAATAATAATAACCCATGGGAATATGTCTGATGAATTTCACATAGGGGCCATATGGATGAAACATCATTTCAGGTCAATTCCCTGCCTCAGTTTATTATTGCAAGTCACATGAATTGGAAATAACCGTCCTTGCAATCAGCCATTACTGCTATAATGTGCATTTACACAATGTTACCTCTAATAGTCCCTTCTGATGGCATATTAGCTGCTTTCGATCTATCATCTCCTGCCTGCATTACTTTATCCAGTTAATCAGTTGGATCAATCTGCATCACTG